GTCTATATGCAGACACTTTGAAAAAATTGGTACATCGGTGTTCCGCAATGGTTCCATTGTAGCCATGATTTTTTTTTTGTCTCTGGTCGATTTAGTATAACAAAATAAAAATACTGTAGTTGTTTTTGTTTTGCTGAATGTTGATTAAACTGTTTAAAAGATTATTGCTTGGAATCCATGAGCGATCATCTAAATTGTTTTTATGATTGCGTGCCGTTTAAAAACAATTGTTATCTTAACCTTAATACAAAACATAACATGATCATTTATATACTTAGACATTACGCCTCTAAAAAATGGAAGTATAAACTTGGGCAATTGGTTTATACACCAAACTGTCATTCTCAAGGCCACATCCAATCAAGTAAGACAACAGGGTAATGAATACTGGGATTTATCCAACACATATCTATAGACCTGTATTTGTTCATATTTGTAAGATTTTATTGTGGTCTATTATGCCATTCTAGAGTATAGATCAGTCCCCATCATAGAACTGTTAAAATGAGCAATTGAAAGGATCCAAAATAAATTTTTGAGGATAGCTTCTTTTAGGAGTGGATACTGGAGAGAGGAATATGACTATCAGTGGGTAAGAGACAGTCTTGATTTACCAACACTTAAGAACTTTGTTAGATTTATGTTTCATGCAGAGAGTAATTAATGCTATTATAGATCGTACTCTATTTTTATTCACTCCTTAGTCTTAAAGTACCTAGATAGAAACAACAGACAATCTTTTCAATGCCATTTCACCAAACTAATATTATGGTATAAATGAACCTACTTCACGATTGGTCCAGAGTGCTAATAGCCTGCCAAGACAAATAAATAGTTTTGACTCCAAAATTAGTTTATTTAAAAAACACTAAAAGATATCTTATAATAAGTGATATCTTTTACATGTCAATCCTAATCAATACCCTTGGTAGCTGTATTAAAGTTGGTTATAGTTTATAATTCTGAGATGTTTGATATTTTAAAAATTATTATAGCTTTTGTAAATGGATTCTGTTAATAAATAAATAAATCCAATAATCTACAAAAATCAGGTAATAAAACATTGATTTTAGCCAAATTTGTCTATATATTACTTGCCTACAAAAGATATACAAAGTAAACAAAAGTTTTAAACAAATAAGTCTTACGGAGTTAAATGAAAAGAGGAATTTCAATAATGTTGGAAAATACTGCATAAGCCAAAAAATATGATAATACAGAAAAATGACAAGTTTTAATACTGATTTTAGTCAAACATGAGGATATCTAAGTTGACTGAAATATACAAAAAGTAAGCAATAGTTTAAAGAACTCAAATCGTTATGAAATAAAATTCAAATTGAGACATTTTAAGAATATGGGAAGATAACCTTATGGGCCAATAACCTTAATAGTCCAAAAAAATCAGGAGATACATATTGATTTTAACCAAACTTAGGAAAATATAATTTTTCCTACACAAAGCCACACAATAAAAGTAACTGAAAATATTAAAGAACCAAAAAGGCTTTTGTTGAAAATATATGTTGGTTTCTAAAAACCATCAAAATATCCAACAGAGAATTCAAATTAACAACCATATCTTTGAGCAAGTCAAAGAATATACACATCTTGAATCACTAGTAAATGCAACATAGCAATAGCAAACAGAACTGTTCACAGTCTCTAGAAACATTAAAAAAATAAAAATATAAAATCTGTGGTAAAGCTTAATATATACAAGACTTTAATAAGATTGGTTTTGATATATGGGGCTGAAACTTGGACCTTATCTCAAAGTGATGAAAGACTTCTTGATATTTTTGAGAGAAAAATTCTTAGAAAGGTTTTTGGGCTGTAAATGAAAATGGGCTATGGCGTCAAAGATACAAATTTGAACTATATCAGTTATACACTGATCTAGATATTGTGTAATTTGTTAAAGTGCAGAGACTTAGATGGGCTGGCCATATTTCTAGGATGTCAGATCATCAATACATGAAGAGATTAACATTTTCAAAACCAGAGGGTACAACAAGCAGAGGATGACCACGAATGAGATGGATTGATGATGTGGAAGGAGACCTACAGATTGTAAGGGTTAGAAGATGGAGGGAAGTTACCAGGAATCAATAGGAGTGGCGACTTCTTTGTGAGCAGGCCAAGATCCACAACGGATTGTCGAGCCACTTATGATGATGATGATGAAAAAGGCTTATGAAACTAAATAAAAACAGGATAATAAGCATTGATTTTTGTTGAACTTAAGGATTTATCACTTGCCTACAACATATATACAAAGTAAGGAACAATTTAAAAAAACAACAAAGCTTGATTAAATTAACTTAAAAAGAAAGCATTTCCAGAATCTGAAAAAATAGTGTATGGGAGGGAAAATAAATTCAATAATCCTAAAATACTGGGGATGCAATAAAGATTTTAGCCAAATAGGTGGATATATTACTTGAATCCACAGATATACACAAAGAACTACATTTAGACAACAAAATTATTTGAAACCATTTGAAATTATTTCAAAAGATTTCACCTCAAAAATATTGATTTGAAGGAGAAACAGAACTAGAAGTGAAATTACCTTACAAACAACAATCAGAAACACTTCAACCTAATTGGTTTTAGAAATTCACTAACAACTCATACACCATATCATAGTATCTAATATCACACAAGCAAGGGGGTACAAAAGGTTTTTCAGTCAAACTTTAGATATACAAATAGATGGACACTGACAGAGTATCATGCTTATATAGCTAAGAAACCTCACTAAAAGATACAATAACTGAAGAATTGTTAAAATACAAGTTGAATCAAAGTACAAAGAACAACCACAACGATTTTAGTTCAAATTTACTGATTTTGCATGTATACAAATAAAAAATTATTAATCAACTAAAAGGAAGGCATTCTGAGGTGAAAATAAGTAGATTGTGCATAAATCCAATGAATCCATTAGATATAAAGTATACTTTATTAATGTTAACCAAATAGTCCTCACAAATGAGGCATAGTATGACCTCACATATGAGGAGTGTATAACTGAAACTATTTCTATAACTCTTGAGAAAGGGATATAACAACAAAGAACTGTTTAAATTTACAAAAAAAAAATTTAAAATTTGATATCCTATCCATATAACAGAATGGATTCTTCTTGTTGTTTTTTATATACTCCTAGCCATGCAAATCAATCAGCTACCTGACTTTTGAGACATGACATATGAGAAAATATTAAACAATCTTTGATAATTATATAGAAAACAGCATCAACTATCTATGAATAAAGGTGGCACCAAGTCAAGGATATTAGGTGGACAATCAATACACAAAAGATGGGGATGGAAAATAATATGCAAGGAAGTTATAGAATTAAAAAGACTCAAAAAACTCACACAAAAGTTATAGTACCAACAAAATAAGTTGGTTATTTTATTCATTAAAATAAATCAATGTGAAAACTATTATAAACAAAGAGAAATTCCCAACAATCAATACTAATTACTATCAGAAAACATTGTGCAACATTTATGATAAAGAAGTTGTTACTACAAATTGTTAAAAATTCATATCAGGCGTTTGTGTGGGTTGTTGGATGTTTATTATTTGTTTTACTTCTGTCAATATTTACTTTTTGTAGGCTTAAAAAAGAACACAAACTAAAAAAGTATCATGCACTTTCCAGTCAGTTGCCCTTTACACTGTGTGCAACAATTTACACTCCCTACTATTTATAGAATCCAAACTTTAGCATGCATGAGATCGCGTTGAAACAAAATAAGTTGGTATTTTAATTTGTGAGAGGCTTTCTACTTATGCATTCATAATAAATTTAAAATTGCCATTCCAGCTAAAATTAACTTGCCTTAACAATGGAATAAGTTTTGAAATTCAAATTGGAAGGGAGACCAGACGAAGTATGGTGTTAGGCAATAAAGTGAAATGTTATCAGAATGGGAAATGATTATAAAACTATCGACTACTTACTATGAGTCCTGTTTCAACATTTGGTAATAAAGTAATTCTAGACCCATCAGATATTCCATGTTGAACCAAATTTCCATCTTGTAATTGCCTAAAACAAATTCATTAAGAAAAAACTAATAAAGTAACTGTACTTTGGTTTTGAAACCCACTTATCTCTGAACAGTAAACATATTCTGTCTCTCGGCACTTTAAGTCTTTTAGATATGAGTTTTTTGAGATTTTCGATTGAAATGTCCGATTCCACGCTCAGGTAAAAATCGCCCCCCGTGGTGGGGCTCACATGAACATTTATTTGGGTATTTGGGCCACACCCCTGAGAAATGGGGTTAGTAGATGATTGTGAGCTGTTTTCCATATTCCTAGAGTCTATTTTTGAGGCACTACACTTTATTTAAAGCACTATAACACTGGACCGAGTACCTTTGTCAATAACTTTGATATATGCACCATTGCTGGCTAAATACATAAAACTATAAAAAACAATACTGGTGTTACGGTACTGGAGACCGACGAGCCTGCCTGCTGTATCTCCAATGTTGCCATGCTTCACTTACACAAGTTACACAAAATATCATGATCAAAATACATCACACAGAAGTGGCTTCTCTTGATTTTATTCACATACAAGCAAAACAACGATTAAACAAAATATGCTTCCTATAGTGTATTGCACTTTAGCTGGAAGTAGAACATCTATTTTTAAATATAATTTTTTGAAAAACCATATTTTTTTAGATTTTTGTATTTTATAAATAAATTAGTTATCAAATATAATCGCAATATGTTGTTCTTATATTTTGAAATCTTATGACAATATACCATCAAAAATAATAATAAGCATTACAATAAAAATTTAAGCCACTAAACTGTTATAAATTAGTAGATCTATCAATTAATTAATAGTGACGGCATCACTGTGCATCTGACAAGTGTAGATGCGCATACAAACCAATCATATTGGATTCGAGATTCGACACAAAGAACCGTGACTTGTTCAGCTGGTTGTCTGCCACCAGGCGCTTTATTTATTATTAATTACCTCCTTAAAAGATCCGCAACGAAATTGATTATTAAAAATCTTATTTCCGTTGTACAAAATAATAATAAGCATAAATTAGGAGTAAATCACTGTTTAAAAATATTGTTTCTGAAATATAGTTTTGTTTCTGTCATGTTTAGAAAATAATTTACTGATAGCAGCTCAGCCATGTAATCAATTGCAGCTACAGTAATTATAATAACGTCTCATCTGAGCCACTACAAAAATCAGTTCTGGGATTATAATAGTAATCTCAAACATAACCTTTTATTGCTTAATTTATTTATTATTTACTTTCAAAATCACCATAGGCGGTTCATGGGTATGGTTAGAGGAGTTAATAATATGATTATTTAAAATTAACATAAGTTTTTAGTAAGCAAAAGAATAAAAACAATTCGACTTTTTGTAAACAAGAGCAAATGCTTTAAAAACTATTTTCCCCTTATGATAAATTTTTCATATTTTGTTTAGTTAACTTAAGCCAGTTTTGAACTGATAAATCATTCCATGCTATATTATTCATGTGAATTTATTGAAATCAGTAGAAAAATAGTCAAAACAAACTAGATAGTTGCTAAGACGCTAGGAATTTAGGGGAATCAGAAGCAAGTTACAAACAGATAATGTAAGGTGGGGTAATTGGATTATGATTTTACAACAAATCTGCGTTCGGCTCAGATTTTTAGTTACCTAATGATCAAAGTACTTATAAGTAAATTTTAAAACTATTTGTATAAAACATGATCTTTATTTAATACTATTTAAATGTATGGAAACTTAATTTGATTGAAAGTATTACAGTAATAATAAAATTATATGTACGGTGGATGCAGCTACCTCAATTAACAGGGGTAACTGGAGCAGCCAGCCTAAAATCTCATAAGAGCTGGTAGAAATCATTGTGGGCTATCTGGGCCTGATTTATCAGACATATCAGCATATCTTTATACTTTTCAAAGAAACCTCAAACAATAATTAAAATTGAGCGAATTTGAAACCAGATTCAATGTAAGGATATCATCTCGTAGAGCAGATAAGGTTTATTAACAAATTATAAACAGTTTGCAGCTAACAACTTGAAATTTAATGCCATTATATTAAAGAGCAAAAAGGGCAGCAAGGATCACTGTGAAAATTACAGTGGAATTGCGGTAAACAGCACAATAAGTAGGATGTATGGGAAACTTATTAAGAACAAAATAGAAAATGACTATAGAGATTACGAAGCAGAAGAGCAAGCTGGTTTTAGAGCTGGGCGATCCACAGTAGACCACCTGTACTCCATTACGCAAGTTATTGAGAAAACAACAGCCTTCAATAAAGAAGTTCACCTGGTGTACGTAGACTTACAAAAAGCATATGACAGTGTACCCCTAAGTAAACTATGGTCAACCTTACAGCAAACCAACATTAAGCATGGTCTTATCAAAGCAGTCCAAAGTTTGTATAATGGAACGATTGCAAAAATTAAAACTGGATCAAGGATATCTGAAGGATTTAAGGTCACGAAAGGACTAAAGCAGAGTTGCTGTATTTCGCCTACCCTTTTCAAAATTTATCTGGAACAAGCACTCAAGCTATGGAAAAGAAAATGTAATGGCATGGGAATCCCTCTCAATGACGAGACTACACTGTACAACTTATGTTTAGCTGATGACCAAATACTGATGGCCCAGGATCATGACGACTTGAGTTACATGACTCGAAAGCTTATATAAGAATATAACAAATGGGGTCTCGAAGTCAACATTAAGAAAACTGAAGCCATGTGTATTGGAGGGACAAAACAATCCATTATATTAGACGATGGGGTAGAAATTAGAAACTGTGATGAATACAAGCACTTGGGTATGAAGATAACTCAAGATGGAACACTCGATGCTGCTATAAAAGACAGAAACATACAGGGTAGAAAAGCCATATCCATGATGAACGGCATTCTGTGGGACCAAACAATATCTAAAGCGAACAAACAACTCATATACAACACCATACTTTAAAATGTAATCACATATGGCAGTAAACTTTGGCCAATGAAACAAAGAACAGAGAAACTGTTACTAGCAACAAAAATGGACTTCTGGAGAAGAGCAGCAGGCAAATCAAGAAGAAATAGGATACCAAATGAGAGAATACGAGAAATGATGGGAGTCAAGCATACAATAGTTGATGACATAAAAACAAAACAGTTAATATGGTACGGCCATGTACAGATAATGCCAGTTGACAGGATTCCAAAACAGATTTTGACGTGGACACCACAATGGAGAAGGAAAAGAAGAAGACCGAGAAGAAGCTGGAGAGAGGGAATTGAAAAAGAACTAGGGGGAATCCTTTCAGACCTATGGTTGAATAGAGAAGAATGGCGGTTAGGAGTCGGAAGGCGTCGGAGAACGCTGTAAACCGATAGTAGTAGTATATTAAAGAGTTTATATACTTACATTTAAAGAGTTTATTAAAACTGAACAAATCAAAACTAATATCTTAATATATTCCTAAACAAAATTCTTCATGAAACAGAAACTGAAAATTAAAAAATAAAATTGGCAAAGAAGCCATTATAATCTCATATATTGTCCCACAAATGCTGCAATTCTTTCACATGAAAAAATCCTCTTTTAGAAATAATTTTTGGTTCTTCAATTGTATCAATAACGTCATCCCAATCGTATTTTCCAATATCTGCTTTATCTGGCCACTTCCAAGACTTCAAAGATTTCTGCATCGATGAAATTTCAACCTGGTCATCTGTATAGCTTAAGATTTTTTTCTGGAAAATAATCTTCTTTATACTTAAAGATTATATATTCACCAACTTTTTTGTCAATTTGGTTAAGAAGGCCTAGTTGCTGAAAATTTCCACAGGCCTGCTCATCAATAGTATTAGAGAATATTTCAAATTTCTTCTCGCTATCTAAATCTTTCATTTTCTTCTACAATGCCTTGCAAATCAACATCATAATTACTTTCTGATATATAATCAAAACTGTACTTTTTCCTGTGTTTTGTGGTCTGTTAGGATTACAGCGATCGAGACATCTGATTGTACGGTATTTGAAGAAGTATGGGATGCTTGTTGCTCTACATTTAAATAATTGTAGTCTTCTTCAACCTGTAAAGGTTACTTCATAATAGTAATTTCATTTTTTTGTGCTAACTTAATCAAACCTGGAAACATATGGGTAGCATGGCCATCATAAATTTATAAACTCTCTTTTGTAATACTGTAAAACTTTGTAATAACTGGTCTCTCCTTTGTAGTATTAAGTAAAAATGATCTCTAAACCAATTAAAAATAAAAGTAGTTTGCATCCAACCTCGAAACGTGATGGAAACTGCAGTTTGGGATATTGTATTCTCATTAATCCAATTATCCATTACGTACTTACCTTTAAATACACAGAGGAGAGGTATCATTTGATCATAAGAAGAACAACAACGAAACAGTTGTGTTTTCTCGGCCAGACGAATTGGTATTCCTTATGCTTTTTGTACCAATTGCACCAGCGGCCTTTGTTTTACAAAATTACGTCTCGTCGCAATTAAATATCTGTTCTGGTTTCCCCTTAAGGTTTAGTTATTCCACAGTTTTTGTTAATACTTCAAAACAGTTATAGATGACCCAAGAGTTCACCTGATCGCATCTAACATGTTCAATATTTGTAGGTTTCTTTATTGACAGATGATGCCTTGTTTTAAATGATCTAAACCAGCCAGGGCCTATTAGTCTATCTTATATAGAATTGTACTAAGTCTAATACTTCCTCTCTGAATAGGCCAAACCCATTTTGGGCCACAATTTTTACGCAATCTGCAATTTCTTTTTCCTCAAGAGACGAAAAATATGATTGAACTCCTCCACTACCGTTACCTTCTTTTGAAGTCAGTCCAGTCCCACGCATACCTTTCACTCGATGCTAATGTCTATCTATCTAATTAGCCTTCTTCGGTCCATCTTTGGACATAGGCCTCCCCAATCCTTTTCCATTCTTCTCTGTCTGTCGCTACAGTCATCCATCCGATGCTAATGTAGATCGTGGAATATTGTAAAATATTGATGCACTCCGTGTTGTCTTAATGCCATTTCTAATATCCTCAATTACCATATCAAAATATTCCGTGGTATATGAGGAGCCAGCACCTTTTTGAGTTTTGCTTATGTATGTTCGTACCATTTTCTAAAAGAAAAACTATTTGAGAATACCTAGGCTTTAAAAAAGTAAAGGATGGAAAATTTTTTTAGATCCTGAGGTTTTGAGGGGTCACTGGACCAGGCCTTGGCCCAGTTACTTCCGATATAGGTCCCAGTTACCCCGAAAGAGCAAAAGCTCTTGGGGTAACTGGACCACCCATTCTAACCTCAAAACTAATAAAATAAGCATGCAAAACTAATTTAAACATTGTTAATAGGATATTAATCAGCAATTTTACACTAAAATACATGGTAAAAAGCACTTACCTTGATAATGACTTACAGTTTAAG